TGAGACAGTCTTGTTTAATATAACTGCTTGAAAGTTACTGACCTGTGTACCACTATCCATATCTATACGGCGCTATTTAATAGCCGAACTAACACTATATATACATGGAAGTGGATCAGAAAAATTCCTCATCTTTTTTCATTTAGGAAAAACTGTTACTTGAGGCAATGTACGAAGTGCCTGGGAGTGACATTATTGGTGTATGTGTTGATAAGGATGTTGTTCACGGGACCAAAGGACCTGATTATATTCGAGCTCCAAATTTACAAAAAACTCAAGAGAATGAGAACAGCGATGATTCAACTAGTGAAGATCAAACTGCCGGGTCTCGATATGCATTATAGTACTATCTGATTAATATCAATGAAATTTCTTGAAAGTTTTTCCCCCCTGTTTTTGACAATAAAATTTTTGATGATGATCACATTAGGGATGTCCAAGTCCGAAATACTCTGGCAGCAGTGAAGTCATATTTTGCTTCATATATAAATAATTCTAAATTGGATACTTTATGTCAATCTATTTCAGAGAAAAATTTTTGTATTGGTAATTTAGTTGAAGAAATGGTGAAACGAATGAACAAAACAATTTGAATTAAATTTTAAATTGCAAGTATTTGTTAATATGAATTCATTGGACATCCCTGTCCTATTGTCACTTGTGTAATTTGTGACCATCTCATTTTGAAGCTTTTCTTTATTAGCAAAGATTACTATATTTTTAATATATTTACTTCAACATGTAAATCTCGAAATTTTGCAAAAATGAATGTAAAAAATGATTGACACGTAATTACATTAATAATAATCGTCGCGCTGGGGTGAGGAATTGATTGTTTATTTTACGACTATTATTTGCAGCCTTAACCCAGAATTTTTTTCAGTATTTTTCTCAGATATTTTCTGCAATATTTACTCATTGTGTGTTATAGCATGTGTGGATAAATATATGCATGTTGCTGTCAACTTGTATTTTAGAGATTGGGGTTTATACAGTATAACTGAAAATTAGGTGACTGTGGGACTGTTTTTATCTCTATGTTAAAATTTGTATGTGCGACAACATATTATCTGCCTGTGTGTTCATTGTTGGGGTCGCAATATGGTTAGTTACTTTCGCTACGGACTGGATAGAATAAAAAATGTACAATGTAGTTTATTGATTTTCGATATTGTTCCATATTGCTCCATGCTTTTGGCCAGTGTTTGCAATAATCTTGTGACTGATAATGTTGCTTTTTGCATGTATATTGCAACATATGAAATTTAAATATTATAAATAAGTAGGTAAAAATATTTATATTCACATCTTAGGCAATTTATTATCACAATCTGGAGAAGGATTTTACAATAGTCTCACCTATATTTGCTAGAAGTGTTGGAAACTTGATATATACATTTGTCCAGTGCAGAATATAGAATGAATTCGCATTGTAAATTTTTTGGTAACTGCGAATCCCATTAGGTTGGGCCTTAATTCCATTAGGTTGGGCCTTAATTAGAAATTAGAAAAATATTTTTTTGGTAAATTGCTTCCCCTTTCAACCAGAAAATAGACAGGCATTTTTATTACTGTGTGCATAGCTGGTGCGGATCGTCTCTTCCGTACAGATATTTTTGGCAGTAATAAAATGATGTTCAGAAAGTAATTTGATCTCTTTATTTGTCTAATTTTGAACAAGAATCGCGAAACGAACACCAAAATCAATAAAAGAGACTAGTAAAAGTCGCAGCAGAAGAATGGAATGATTTTATTTCAGTATTAGTTTATTATACTTACACGTTTATAGCACATCTAACGAGCTAGAAAAGAAACAATTCGATACGCGACATGTCTCGTATTGAGTAGAAAAAATTACCAGCGTTATCCAGGCCTGCATTCGCTCATTGGTCTAATGAAGCTTATATTTTGTCGTATATATGTCCGGTATAATTGATGAAATGTCTGTAATCTCTATAATTTATTTTTTGGCTGTTGTGGCCTGTAATTAGATGACGTTACTAACCGCTTCCCCAACACCCCGTTCTCAGACGTTTTAATTGTCACGTCTCTCGACAAAGAGAATTGCTGCAGCTCTGTTCAACAATCCAATTCTCAATAAAAGGAAAGCAATGGCTTCGGGAAAGTTCTGTACGATTAGCATTAGGGTAGCATGTCATACACCGCAGTCGTAACTATTTATTGCATCCTGGTATTTTTGTATCAGTGGCTCCTGGCGTACAGTTTCTCTCATAAACATGAAGATAACCGTTCAAATTCATTGTTCTCAGCAACGCAGGAAGATGATGTTTTCGTTCCTTCCGGTTGTATTTCACCCACTTCATCACTGCAGTCCATTTTGCCTCACCGTGAATGTTCCGTTTTTTCAAAATTTTGCAGAGATGTAACACTTCTTCGAAGAGTAGACACCGAAACTCTGGTTGCTCCATAATCTTTAGAAAATTAGTGATAAAAAATGATAAAACATATTGGCTAATCGCACCAAATGGCGTATTTTTATGGGTTCTCGCGAGGTATTTCAGAGTAAAGCATGTGTTTAAGTCAATATTCCAAACAAGACTTTTGGTATCAAAAAATACCGCCTGGATGATATGCGAAACGCACGATGACGATTCCTTCACGACGGGTTCCTTCAAAACACTTTCGATAAGATAATAAGGGGACATTTTTTGCACGGATAACGCCTGAAGGAGTTCTAACGAACAGTGTTTTCTTTCACTGTCGTGTCTAAACCATGTCAGTGCCAATTCCCAAATATCCTGCTCTTTTGGCGCAAGACATTCTGAAAACTTAATGAACATGCATATTTCATCTTTACACCAAAGCTCGATTTCGGTCCTTGTTTTAATATTTTTGATATTTGTCACCATAAACGTTATGATGACTTCCATGTTCTCTTTGAAGTTTTCGCGGGGATATCCTGTCGCTATTTTGTACATATTGAAACAATTTTGCAAGTTGATACCGTTCTTGAGCTGCTGAGAACTCGAAAGAACTCTTGACGCGATTACGTCTTTGCAAGATGTGGATAGCTGTATAAGAGGTTCGTTCCAGATCACAAAAGAAAGGGTACTGACGGAAAGCTTTGTCATATTAATGAAATTTGCCAGTTCAAACAAATGTTTTCCTCTTTCATCAATATCATGCGAGATCCAGTTTATAACGCCTTTCCAATAAATCAGGGTCCTCGCACGGATTGGTGAACTTTGGGGGGATAAACGTTTGCGAGTTTTGGTTCCACTTGAGCGAGAACGCACTTTCCGTCCACACGACGCAGAAAGAAAAATCTTACTAGCTCTCATATCGCTGGCGGTTGCTGACAACGAAACTCTGGTAGGACTTATTTGACAGAAATTGTCGGCCACCGAGCCTTGGCACAGTTGTATGTATTGCTGCATGTCTGATTTGCTAAGCTCTTGGAAGTCTTTGGTTTCAACTATGTCTTTAATGTTGTGAACGAGGAAACGATTGAGTGCCTGGATAAGCTCCATATTTTCATAAACCGCAGCTACGTTTCTAATATAAAAGCAATTCTCTGAATTTATATTGTTTTCCAGGTGTGTAAAGCAAAGTTTCACTAGTTCTTTTAGCTGTAAAAGATCGGCTGCATTGAGTAATCTCTCCGAATTCTGTACGTCAATGTCATTTACCTCGCCGGAGTACATGAATTCAATGCATCTTTCCATTGCATCCGGTTCTATACCGCTGATGTAAACTATACCTTCATCAACATCTCGAGATAGAAGACGACGAAAATACTTTGAAGAACCCGCCAATACTGTTCGATGAACTCGAAACGGAGTTGAATCGACTTGTATGGTGAAGTCGCACAGAATTTGCTTTTTGCGAAGTTTTGTCAAATTGGACATCAAACTAAGTCCATGACCAACTTTGGTGGTTGCTGACTTGCCCCTCTGCATTCATCCAAATCGTGAGTAATTTTGTTCTTACGTTAATTATTCTTCAAACTGAAATACATAAACAATAAGTACAGAAGTACGGCAATGCCGGAGACCGAAATGATACTGTTTTGTGGCCCGTAGTTATGTGCTTTTATGTACCCAACAGACCATTCTCAGCTATGCTGTCTCCGGATGCGTTACAAAATGTTTACCACGCCGTTGTTGACAAGAATGTAATGGCGTCTTACAACTATCGGATTTCGCGATCGTGTTTCTTTGTTGTCCATACAACTTATAACATTGTAAAACACTTGTTGTTTGATCATAATTAAAATACACGTCGAGGACAACAAAGCAATTAATCTGACGAGATCTGCCTCACGAACAATACAAATCGCCATGGCGACATTCTGCATAATGTTAGGATGGCGTGAACGCTTTTTATTTTAGGAAACATGCCGAACCTGCTTACGCCATATGCATGTGATGCAGTAGGCCTATGTCTGAATCAGAATTCACATCATACTTTTTTTCATTCTAATCTTGACCACGTGCTATTTCCCAAAATTATTCAGATAAATATTACCTATTGACTTAAAGCATCATTTCATCTAATCACTAGGGCTACCTGTGTCAGACTTGTGGACGAAACCTCAATGTTTAAAGAAACATGGCGACAAATTCACCAATCATTTTGTGGATATGTGTTTAACCTTGGCTGAAACTTATTGAAGCAGCACCGCAACTTCTGTCGTAAGTGAGGGGTCGTGCGACGCACAGCAACCAACCACGTCAGGGAATATTTGATTGTGGTTGAATATTGTGCGGTTATAACTGCGTTTTAGACGCATTCCTTTCGCCTCTGACTTTCCTCCACGCTGAGGTGATTGACTCAGCGTTTGATTTGTACTCCGTCTATCTCTCTTGTGACGAATACTCTTGTGCTTTATCAACTTGACGCAATTTAACACCGCCCGTCTTTATGTTATAATAATGCAGTAAAAACTCTGGATACCAAATTATTTTCGGAAAAATATTGCTTCGACTAACGTAAGATTTTCTAAATATAAAAAGCCGAAAACTTAAAATGTGATGGTATTAAAATGTGATGATATTGGTTTATTTTAGGTTAATAAAATTGTCGAAATGGCGATATCTTATGGAGATGCAATTGAACCGAAATCCATTCCAATAGAGCAAAGTGATCAACATTCTCAAGCGATATGTCAAATATATCTTGAAAGTTTCTCAATATTTCACTTCACAAAGAAAAAGTGATAAATGTAGTTAATGATGCAAAGAAATACAAAGTCTATAAAGTTTGCACTGGATCTTCACTGTGAGGTATAGCGACGTGTCATATGTCTTCTGTATCAGCAGTTGCTAACTCACGACAAGCTCGGGAAACCTGAAAAAATATAAAATATTGTAAACAGGTGTCTCTGTGAACACATATCGTGTTCATTTAATCCGACGAAACTTTGAGCAAGCAACCTAACAACAGGACTAGCCAAGATTGATCCACAGATCACAAACCCAGATTTGATATTGAAAGTAAACCCCCTATTTTCATTCGATCTGTGCGTGGTATCATGTTTGTGGTCATGGCTAAATTCGCGTCTAAACGGCGAAGACGGACGTTAGAATTAAACCAATAAATTTTCTTCATAATCGGGGATTCTCACAAATATTTATTCTACATTTCCACATTGGACAATAATGCATTGGTATACGCATGGCTTACCTTTTCAAGTTTCCAATTTTTTCATCTTCACTCGTTGTGGTTGAAATTGAACTGCTGGTGTCCGAAGTTGTAGAAGAACCACTGGTACTTGTTGCGGATGTCTTTTTACGTCTACGTCGTCTTCCGAATTCCGCAATTGATACATGTGAAATTTTTCCAGCGCTATCTCTCCCTATTATGGCTGGGGGACGGTCCCGAATTGGTGGATGCGCTGATGGTGGCGTGACCTGAAAGTTTCAAGTTGTAAATTTTCTTTTTTCTCTAACGATGGAAGTGTTCAATAAAAATGTTGGATTAAACTAATTAACGGAATAAACCAATAACTTAGCGAATGGCCAGCAATTTAATTCTTAAAATCATATTTCATTTTAAAGACATCATCGAAATCATGAGTTTTAAATAGGAGTGCATCATTTTCAACTAATTGCTTGGCAAGTCATCATTTTTTTTATATTATTCGACACTAAGTTTTGCGGAATTGTTATGGTTGTTGTCGTGCATCAATAATTGTCTGACAGTGTGGGTACAGAATGTCGCGTATATATCAACAACAACGGTGAACAAAGGACCAGGTCTTAAGCTTACCGAGTACGTCTAAAGTAAATAACAACCCACCTTGCGGTTGATTACGCATAAAACATCTTGTAAAGGAATGAATAATCCATGCTTGTGAGGGCAGAAGAAATATCTTTTACCATTTAGGTACCCATCGTGTCGACCTTCTGTGTAATAAATTCGAATATTATGATTCTTATTTTTATGATCCATTTGAAATTTTTTTGAATGACATTTTTGTACCTTGATTATCCAATTCCATGCCTATGTATACTACGCTGGGCGTCCCAACTCCATCTAGATGTCCTACGTATCGTACAGTTCCTACACGATTGTTTCGAGCAATTATTTGATCCTTTGGCTGAATCTGCAGCTTGGAACTGAATGCAAGAAGTTATATTCACAATTACCTATCACGTCTTATATGTATGTGTGACTGTATACCCAGGCTTGTCCATGGTAATGGAATTCCCCAGGAACGTTCCATGGGATGGGACAGCCCACATTTGTATTTCCCGTATGATTTTCCGGGAAATCATGGTAAAACATTTCGTTATGAACTTCGTTTCTATATATTTGAGAATAGTTCTCTTGTTAGTTATAAAGAGCAACATATATTCGGCATTAACAATATAGGGGGTGATGGACACATGTATAATAGGTATGAATATAAAGTTAAAAAAAAGGCCGTGAATTTTGTTGTTTTGCAGTCTATTCGCACATGTAGTCCTATTTAGTGGACGCTAAATCTAAATTCAGCAATTTTTATTGAATTTTATTCCAATGGGAATCCCATGGGATGGGAATGGGACAGAAAAATATGTCCCATAGACAAGCCTGTGTATATTGAAGTGCATTAGTTAGTTCTGTGTCCAGCTACTTTTATTTTCCCCTCACTCAACTGCATTCAGATATACAATACTGACTACATCATCAGCTCCATGCGTAAGAGAGATACCTAAATAAGTATGCTGTAATTCAATTAAGTTCTAAAAAAAATATCTTATTGTTCGATCAGGGAATTAAATTCATAAACTTCGATAATCAATATATAAATCTATACTTTTGAAGCCAGACAAGTCTTCTCAAGTCGCGTAAAACTGGATTTCGTCCCGAACTGTCCGTAACATATGGACTGCAAGCGAACCCAAGTAATCCACTGCTTCGGAAGAATGCGGTGCACATTTGACATTTACATCCGAGGATTGGTCCAGGAAATATAGATGATCTGGTTCGAGACACCGTTGGTCTAAAAATAATGTGACTGATTTAAAATCGATCCCATCGTTTTCTCAAGTTAGACATTAAATGGAAAATTTATATCACCAGATTATGCTTGGACAATTCGTTCTATACATTCTTCCAAGGGCTGAAATCGACAACAGCGGACAAGTACATAGGTTCAGTTTTAATTGCTTGACTAAAATTTCGGAAATTGTCGAACTAAATTCTTATTCAAGATCAACCAGTAGGTTAACTTTTGCAGAAATGTCCGTTTCATCAGAAAATGATTCTACACATTGACGCTCTTTGAACAAGTTTACTGCTTCATGTATTCGTAGTATAATGTGTGTGACTTATGATTCTTTACCTTGAGGATGTTGCAGAATCGGCTGTTATCAGCGGTAGAAGTTGTGAGAAACGTCCCCTGGATCCAGGTTGTTGAGGAGGTGACTGATATTCATCACTTGATGTTAAATTGTTCTGCACGTCCACACTGTAAGTTTCGTGTTGCCGCATCAATGCTGCTTCCTTTTCTCGTTCATATTCTTTATTCTAGACATGCATATTTCAAAAATTGCAAAAATTTATTGGGAATCAAACCTATACAAATCAGCGGAGGTCATGTCGTGAATATCGTGACTAATATCGTTAGACGTGCGAAAGTTGTCGGATTTATTACAAACATGTGTATAGTGTATTTTATATGAGGTCATCGAGCTCACAAACACTTTTTAAGAGAGCGATCTTACGCGGAAAATTTGCTCGAGTGTAGTTTTTCCAGAAAGAACTATCGTGCGAGTGAAGTTTTGCATGAATATGATCTTGGGAGAAAACTACATTTTCATAGTGAAGTGCCATATTTCGTACAACATTTTTCTATGTACCCCCCTATATCGGGCAGACTTATGCATTAGGAATGTTTTAAAATTATGACCAGAATGTGCTCTTTTTTAACTATTTGCATATGTCCATGTTGAATGTATTTAAATTCATATTTTCAATCAAAAATTACTTGGATTTCCTGTATTGCTCGTTGAAGCGTCACAATCTCTTCTTTCGCCGATTTCAAGTCACGATCCAAATCTTCGTTTGAGTTTTCCATCTTAGTATTTTTCTCGATAAGATTTGAATGTTGTTCTTCTAGATCTCGGTGAGTTTTTTCCAGACTGGTGTGCTCAAAATAGCCAAGTGCCGAATCCATGCTTTAAAATATATTTCACATAATCAAATCATTTTATTGATGATTCAGTCTTGGTTACCTCGAAAAAGATACTTACCAGTCCTCTCTCACAGTGTTTACAGCAACCGATATCAGAATCGGATTTTGCGTCGCTGTAGTAACTAAAGGATCACATGAACACTTCAGTACCACATTGCTTCCGCATCCCGTTTCGAGTCCGAGAAATTTTTTGCTGGGCTATTTGATAAAAAAAAACATTGTTAGGTTCAAACTATTATGTTCATTTTAAATAGGTCTCTAAAAATAAGAATCATATTTACGCAACAAAAAGGATTCTAACGTATCTAAAATGGCGCCTTTTACCAAACGTTCATTTAAAAAGCACCAAACACATTGGCGGAGTTTAGTGACAATTTTTGATCTTATTGAAACAATTACCAAAAGGTACAGGAATTCATATTAGTTTGTGGGGAAATACAAATCATCGCAAACCATTCAACATTCATTAAAAACATAAAACAAAATGATTTGATAGATGTGTTCAAACATATGATGGGAATCAGTAGTTTTGCCACATATCTGAATATTTAGCAACATTTTGTACTCTCTAATTACCATTAAAAATGGATTCAGTCGTCGGTAATCTTCATGCTAAACCTTCTTGGATTGGATCATTTTATTAGTTCCTCTCGCTTGTTTTTAACCTAATGACACATTTCTCGAAAGTTACAAAGGGTTATTTCAGTGTTATATAATTTCTATCATTCACTAAATTTCTCTCCACATCCTGACACAAAATGTTTTGGAACGTACTAGATTATATTTTATATTGAATTTTAACCTCGTTATCATCCGGTTGTTGCTTGTGGTTGAAAGATGAATCCTGTCTGCCATGCTTCATATCGTCCAAATTTTGGTGTCTGATGCAGGAGATAGTCAATTTCTAAAGAAAAAGTTTGTATTGCATAATAGGGCTTGGTGAGATTTTACATTGGTACTTGGTACAATGAACTGATGGATTGTTTTGATTATCGCACGAATGAGGTGTAGGGAGAAACTTCATTAAAGCCCGTGAACACATTTCGGTATCGAGCGGTTAAATCAAGTGACACTTGAGGTAATGAAACGCGAACGAAATCTTTTTGATCTTTGTATCATTGGTATGTGGATGGATACAATTGAAAGGAATCTATGACAGCTTCGTGTTGCTTGTTGATTTATGGTGCCTTCAGAATGATACCACATTCGTCTTTTGGAGCAATAAAAAACTCTAATCGAAGTTGTGTAGTGCGGCAGTTTCAACAAAGTTCATCCATACTAGAATATCTACAATTAATAAGTACCAAACGATATATTCTATACAGACAAGTTTTATCTAGGCTATGACGCCATAATAATCTATATTCTAGAACAGTGGTTTTTTGGTGGAACGGTATCCCAATGAAACATTCTAAGGGCTCGAGCAACCCCGTGCAATAGTTTAGTTGTTTTATGCAAAGTAACATCAATTGCTTAATAAATTGAAAGTATAATAGTCATGTTCGGATTTTTTTATAATAAATGAACAAAGTACTTTTTTTCTCATAAAAGATCAATGAGAAATTCGAGCTTGGTGTTTCTGCACAACTATTTAAGTTTGGGTCGTGTTTTTGACAGATACATACAAAGAATTGAAGAAACTATAAATATATATAAAAGAAAATCTAATACTGCAAAGCAAAATGATCTTTAAGGTGTAGCAAATTTATTAATAGTACTTTGAATAAATTTAAACAATATATTTTTAAAAATATAGACTCTGCCATTTGAATGGCAACTTGCGGAATCCGGGACTGTAGTCTACTGGAGGAGGTACTATACGGTGCTTTGGAATCCAGGTTGTAAACCACTGGCCTGGACCATGAACCGATTTAGTTATCCGCTTTGTGGGCTACAAGTAGATATGTTACTTTACGTCTGTTTGAGAAAGCTTCATCAACTGTCATGGTTGGCAATCTATTCTTGTATAGTTTGCAAACCAGCATCTTTCATTTCTGGTGGTGGGCCCTTTGCTATTTTTCTGAGAGCTTCCACTTCTTCGTTTAAATTCTCCAAGATTTTGCTTCTGTTGATTCACAAGTTCTTCAAGCTAAACATACGAACATTAGGTATTAGTCATTGCATGTTTTGTACCTTAAATGTCCGTTATTCGTTTTTTATTATTGTGTTTCCTATGTTTGATAATGATTAAATTATTGGGAGAATAATTAGAGCCCGATTAAGCTTTACAGTCAAATGAAGTAAAATAGCAAATTATAAGTATGTCCACTGATTGTATAATCTTCTCCGCGTGATTGAAAACTATCGGATCTTGTGTAAGAGACAGTCAATTATTCGATTATTTTTTATATTAAAGTAGAACTTTCTGTGTAAATTGAATATTAAATTTCCGTTGAATGTGGTATTTAGTTTGACCAATTTTATTGAAACACAGCAGCTGTTTAATCATATGGATATACTGATAGTGTTGATTATTCACATAAAATTTGTTAGTTGAGTTGTGGAATATTTTTGATATATCTCATGTCGAATAGAATGTAAAATCGAAAACTTACTTGCTGTTTTCTTTGAGTAAATTTGCTACTTCTGCGCACAGCGGAACAACTCCTCTTCTTGATGCACGATGACGAACGCGACAGCCTGGGATGCGACGTTTGTCCGTCTCACATCAGCCATAGGAAAGTTCGCATCTAGAACAACCATGTTATGAAATCAATAATTCATGGAAAAATTTGTCAATCTTTTTTTAAGCTCATATTTAACAGGCTCACAATACTGAATAAAAAAATTTGTTCTCTATTTAAATTATCGACGTGATTAACAATAGCGTATAGTAACAAGTGAAGGTCGATGATTAATATGCCTCGTGCTTATAAACGAGAATGAATTTTGCATCTGAAATGAACATACCATCCAAATTGCCCAATTGATCTCATCGACCATTTCTTGAAATGTTCAAGCATTGTTCAGGAGCAGACTCCGTTTTTGTTTTGTTTGTGGTCCCTTTCATCTTTTCTGTGTTTTCCTTCCTTTAACGCTTTTACTATGCTTGCGCTGAAAAGGTCTCTTCTTGGTGAAAGAAATTAACTTTGACATTGATGAAGTTCCAGTACCCACCAAACTACTGGAATCCGTCATTGTTATTTGAACGAATTATTACGAATGTTTTTCAGATTTTTAACTAGAATGGTGCTATAGACTAGAAAGTAAGGCTTATAATTTGAAGACGAATGAAACCTCCTAATACTCCTACCGTTTTTGTTTATCATGGAATCAGTTTTCTTAGCATCTAACAACAATTTTGATAGCGGTACAGTTTTCAATGTTTCTCCCGCTTTATCTATAAATAATTGCTGATATTCTAAATTGTGTCAGGCTTTCCCATTCGGTGATGTTACACAAATTCCAAAAAAGAAATTGCCCAAATAGGATGCGGTATGAATTTCTGCAAAGGCAACTCCTATTTCTTTACATAAGTTCTTATTCCTACTTCACCCTAACTTCAGAATATAAGAGATTCGAACTTCATAAGCTTGCATGCACTTGATGAATCGATGGAAATTGCTTCCGCCATATACAATGGCTTAATTTTGCATCAACTGCAAATTCTGTCATCTCAGCTTGAATTGCTTAACGCACCGCATATGTTGAATTATATAAGTCACACTGACTTTGTTTCTAAAAAGAAAAACAGCACGCAGCCTTACATTATTCATGAAATCGCAGGTTGTCATGGATGCAGTTGTGAGTCATACTCATGCGATATTTAAATATTAAAAAGCGCCTCAATAGGAAGTACAGATCGGATTATACTGCAAAGTAATATATTAAAAAAAATGTTGCATTATTGAAACCTTTGTTCATTACCGATTTTTCTGACGCCGGTTGAAACACAACTTGCTAAAAACTGAATTCGTGTATATTATATTTTTCTATACGCCATCTAAAAGACTGCAAATGAAAATTTGTCTTGTATTTATGCGTATTGTATTCGGATGACACTTCGGATTTTTATACATAACACATTATTACATACACAATATTACCACGGTATAAATACACGGAAATAAAACTGGTTACAGGTTACAGCCATCTGAATTGCTAACATATAGTCTGTAGAACGAGATATATAGAGGTCATATATTTTTTAATAACATTATCCGTTGGTATATACTTGGACCAAAATAATGCAAGAAAAATAGGTTTCGACTACAAAAATGTTTTACGAATGTAACCTTTTGCTCGTTACCTGCTTTTAGTCTTTACTGTTTTTTTTCATTATTTTCATTTCGCTAGTATGAAACGACACTTGCATTTCCGTCATCATATTTTGGTTTAAATAAAGGCTTTTACCTTCGAATTCCGTGGTTTGCAATGCAATGCACTGTATTTTCATGATACGGGACGCTAACTATGGCCTGCAGCTTTTGTGCAGTATGAAATTTTCAGGGATTTTTATTAATACAATTTTCTTTTCTATTAAGTCTCACGATTCTGTTTCTCTCACGACAGCTACCTTTTGCTAACACGAAATATTCTGTTTTTAAACTCTCGGAACAAGAAGACAACAGGAGTCGCAAGTGCAATACCTGAGTGACAATAATGAGATATTCCACCGTATTTCAAATAGTCACACTTTTCATGAGGCAAAGGTACTCCTTATCAACCATCACGTGTCTGAACTGTAATATCTTAAGTTCGTTCGCTTGTTGTGAATGACATAGTTCTGTATTATGACTGGATGCTTATAATGAAAACATCACATTCTATCTGTTATGACAAGAGCAGGCTTATGCCCTGTGTGTGGATGCGAGAATGTTGCCAGGGACCAATCTTTTCGGTCGTTATAATCTACAATAATTGAATTTATGACAAAACATTATCTTAAAATTATCATAAGACATTAAAATAGTTTTATACGCTCATATTGACATGTATTTCCATTTATGGCCTTGGCTAATCCCGAGGGTCAGCGAAAGAAAAGCAACATTACGCTCGTAGGATAAATAATCTGCAGTAAAACTGTATATAATAGTTAGAGATCCACCACAAAGGAACATTTTATTTTCATCGTAAAATATATATAACTATCGTAATATATTTATTATGGTTATATAATTATTTTGACGTGCAGATTCATCAGAGTTGTGTTATTAGGAAATCCTTTTTAAATTCTTTGATCATGGCATTTTTTTTTGAAATGAAGTCGAAACAGAGCTTTAAAAGAATTGCCCAATCTATTATACCTCTGATGAAAATCAAACTATTTATAGGTCCAATAAATTTAGAAATAAACTTCAAAGCAGAGACTTCCTTCAACTGCTCATTTGTTCAAGTTATTTACAAGGTCCTTCTTCAAGGATAACATCGTCAATAGCAATGTCACCACGGTATCCATTTCCTCTGACCGCTTCAATCGCAATCTGAATTAATTAATTTTAAATGAACTAATGTTTTATTAATTGATCTAATATACGTATAAAATATATATTTTTATGCGTTTACCAAGTAAATTTAATTAGAGTATAGTCTTGAAGATTTGATGAATATCTTAAATCAATTTTTATGCTTATACGTATCCATGTACTATATATTATATAAAAAGTACATCAATCGTATATCTTGTCGCACTTTAACTGAAGCAAGAATTGATGAAACAGTCTCAATAAATAGGGGCATGATATATCAAAGTGATAGTCAGTGCAAAATATGCTGGGTGCCAGGTAAAGCAGAACTGTAACAAAAAAATGTAACAATTGGACAAACAAATTTAACCTGTACGGGCATGAGTGGATCGCACTTGATGTACGTTTTTTGCAGGCGCGTATCTGGACTTATATTAACGTAGCACTGCAAAGTAACATTTTTTACAATATAGCGAGGTAAGGCGTAATGATCGCACTGATTTTTAAAAATTCAAGGGCACAAGTACTACATACAATCTCACCTGATAATCACTAGAAGTGGCGATGACAAGAGATGACTGATACCAATCATCATTCAGTTTGTCTCCAGAATAGCTCACAAGAGTTGTGAATACATCATTGATAACCTTTGAAATACAATTTTAATATAATTAACTCATTTTATTGTCATAGTTAAACATCCTAGAATTTGCTTCTGAGCATTTGATGTCATAACAATATAAACCTGGCTCTTAAAACTTCACGCAATAACGCGAAAAAAAATCAAGCACAAAACTTGCTGAAAATATTGGTTGATAGTGATGAAATGTATTGGGATTCTTCAAAATACTCAGAATGGGATTTCAATTGAATTTGATGCCAGAAGTACATCCTCCGAAAGATACTGCTCTGGTGTGAAACTACTGACTTTAGAATTAATACATAATTAGTATTGTGCGACTGTTTAAATAAAAAGTACTGCTAAAAAAATACTTAATTTTCCAGGAAAAATATCACGAAGTTCATTAAATTCGAATGCAAACAAAATATATGGCACTGCAATATGGTTATAAAATATAATCAATTACTCACCAAATATACATTAGCGTTCCAGTGTTAATTCCATACATGTTGTACCAGAAACTGAAGCAGAAATTATTTCCAGTCGCTCTAACATTGAGCTGATTATTCGTGCTTTCTGTCCGCTTGCTGCTGGAGAAGATGTTTCGAGAAATAGATAGCGCCCTGTAAAAACAAAATTGAATGTCTTTGAATCTTGTTAAACACCGCCTGATTTTAACAGTAACAGTAAAACAAAATTCTTCTCTCTACTGGTGATAACAAGAGTATATATATATATAATGTAAAGTGTAAACTGTTATTGAAATAAACAACACGAACATAATATGAATTCAGCATAGCACTTGCATTTTTATCGGTAATTTTGCAATATGGTTCCTCATTTATTTTTATCCTATACGATTTGGATTTTTATGATATATAATGTGAAAACAAAAACTTGCATCTTTAC